ACTCAGCAGGGTGGTGATGCTGCAAAGAGAGACCAGGGTCTGATGGAGGAAGCTCAACCCTGTCTTGTCTCCTGGTGGACCTCTGGTTAACTGAGGTCTTCTGAACCCTGTTTAGGAGAATTTTTGAGAGCTGGGCAGCAGAGAAGGGAGAGAACTTCCCTCTTCATATGGAAGGTCCACCTCCCAGCCTCTGCTTGCCCTAGCTGGGTTTCTCTTGACTGCCCCATGGTTGTTCTGGACCTCCTAGCCCCAAGAGCTGGGCCCAGGGCTTTGCAGCTCTCAGTGTTTTGTTATGGGGCAGGAGCATCCTCAGTTCCACACGAATCCTTGAGGCCTGCCCTGCTCCGAGCGCTGGCCTGGCTCTTGTCAGCCCAGCCCTTTTCCAGCTTGTCTGTGCCTCATGGACCTGGTGTTCTTGTTGCTCGTGACCACATTCAGGTGACAAATGGGTTGCTGCAAAGGGTTTTTGCATCAGTGGGACTGTGCCCCTCGTGCTGTCACCTCAGCCTTCCTTGTCCCTTCCGTGCCAGTCCAGCCATGCCATCGGCAGCCACCGGCTTCACTCTTTGTTTCCAAAGGATACAGTGCTTGTATCCACTCAAGGTGCTATCAAACCCAGGGTTTCTTCCAAAAATCCTAGCCCCTTCCTCCCTTTCTGAGCTGTGAATGAGATGACAGGGAAGGAAGGTGAAGGAGGCTGGGGCTGCAAGGAGCAGCTTGCATTTTAGGAAAAGCCTGGCTTGTGACACGTAGCTGTTAGCAGATGGAGTTGTCTCAAATCTACCTCAGAGGCCATCTGTTGCTGCAGACCACTTTCCCCTCTTGCTCCTGCCCGCTGCCACCTCCACGTGCTGGCAAGAGGTTTTGTGGAAAGCCAGATCCCATCAACCTGATCCCTCACTGACTCTGCTGGGAGCAGCATCTGCTTGGGGTTTTGTGGATCAGTGCCATCTCACTGGGCTTCTTTTTGGGGTGCCACGCCAGGCTAGGTGAGGAGTAGTGGCACCTCTGTCCCCTCGCTGTCCTCTGGGGCGGTTCCTGAGCTGGGCTTTGCTGTTGGTGCCTCCTGTGCAGTGAAGTCGGCCCGAGCTTTAGTTCTGCTTTGCCATGACAGGAACAGAGGACTCGTGGTGTGTCCCCTTGGCTGGGTGAGGAGGGGAACACAGAGCTGGGGTGCTGTTCTTGTGCAGTCCAGGATTGATCCTTGGCGTGCCCTTGGCTCAACCCTTGGGGCAGCTGAACTCTGGCTCTCTCTGAGTGCAATTCCAGCTTGAGGCCGGTGCTGTTGTCCTTTGCACCACTCGTGTTTTGAGGAATGGCTGACAGTTGATTTTCTGCCCCTCTTTGTGCTGAGTTGGGTTTTCCCTGTTTATCTGGGTGTTTTTTATCCTTTCTCCTCTTCTTGTTGAGGAGGCACTGGAGGGAGAAAACATGCAGGGACATGAGGACAGTTGGTGAAATTCCACCTGTTCCTCAATTCTCACCACATTTGAATGTCGAGTGAGAGATATTGGCAGGAGAGAGGTTTCCCTGTTTTCAGGGGAGCTGGGGAAGGAGGCTGGAGCAGAGCCCCTGGTGGTACTTTGCCATTTCTCCTCGTAGCCTGTGCTGGGAGGATAAGGCACTTTTTGGCTCAGGGCAGCAACAGGACCCGTGGTGCAGCGTGATCGGGGGGAAAAGAGCTTTATGTTGGGGAGGACATGGAAAAGGTCTAGTGTGAGAGGTTTTTCATTTCTCCTGCCTCTTCCCATCCCCATTGCCAGTGTCCTCCAGGAGCAACTGCTGGCTGGCACCTCCCCAGAGCCTCAGCCAGGCCTTTCCGCAGTGCCGGTGCCTCGCAGCAGCCGAGCTGCTTGACTCTGTTAGCAGGTGACCCCCAAAAACACGGCTGCTGAATGATTCCTCCTCCTGCCTGCTTGGCTTCAGGCAGCTTTTCCACTTGCACAAGCCCATCTCTTCCTACAGTAGCTGCCTTGTATCCCAAGTGCCTTATGTTGTAGCCTCTCTGTGCACTATAGCAGTAGCTGAACACCCTCCTTTGTTATTACGTATGTACAACATATGCTACATTTACGTGTTTTCTGCTTCCTTTTTGATAGCGCTACCAGGAAAAGGGACATTTGTTTTTGAAGCATTTCCATATGTTCTTTTTATAATTTTTTTTTTTAAACCTGTAGATGATGGGGCTTTATTTTTTAGCCCTCCTTTATATTTAGTCCTCAGAAATCCCCATCCTTCTGTTGGACCCCAGCCTGGCAGGTTGGTTTTTTTTGAGCTGAGCCTTTGTTGTGAGGCGATATCCACTGTCATCCTGGAGGTTTGCAATCCCCTCTCCATCAGAGGGGCTGCCATGGGCTGCTCCTATCTCTGTGTTGTAGTGCAAGCACAATCCCTGGGCTGCAAGCCTGCAGTAACTGCTCCTGTGTCCATGTCATTTCTCAGCAGATCCAGCCTTCCTTTCAGCCCAAAGAGCTTTTTCTTGGAGCATTTTCATATCAAGCCCTTAGTGGTCAGTCTGTCCTTGGCCTCTCCACCTATGAAATGCCATGAGTTCACTTCCCTTTAGTGGATGCTCTTCTCATGCCCCATCTGTGTCATCTGCAGAAAACATCATGGAATTGTTGGCTGAGGTTGGAAAATGCCTCCAAACTCATCAAAGTCCGATCTTTAAACCAACACCAAGATCCAACCCCGAACAGGAGTTCTTGTCCACCACAGTGCAGAAGGTGATGGAGATTATCCAACACTTCCAGTGGGACATGATTCCTTGCACCCTTCCCATGGGCTTGAGGCTGCTTTAGTAGTCTGTGTCCATTATCCAACCTAAGGAGGTCAGGAATTGAGAAGCCTGTGGTTTTTGGGGTGAAGTGTAGTGTTTTCCTGTCCTAGCCTAGAAGAGCTGTGAAATACCAGCACTAGTTCTATTTTCTGGTCTTAGGTAGCTGGAGAATGGGCTTGGGAAGAGAAAGGGGGTGGAGGAAAAACAGATGTAGCATTTCACATGCAGTTTTTGAGTGACTCTTATATTATGGGGCATTACGGTTGCGTTTATGTTGTTGTTGTTGTTAATTAGGATTCTTTCTTGTTACTCATCATGTTTGGGTTAGTAGTAGCCAAGTTCCAGTTCCCCTGTAGGTCCCCTTACTCTCAATGTTTTAAAAGGTATTTTTGGTAGGGTTCCTGGCTGGAGGGAAGCGTGGTCACTCTGGGATGTCTCTTCCTTGCCTCCAGGTGACTGGGAGCTTGGAGCCTTTGCTGCAGTGCCTGGGGGTTACAGCAGCCTCGGGCTCTTGCCTTTGGTGGATGGACCCCAGGTTGTGTCAGCAGCGGGTGGAGATGATGGGGTTTGCTTTACAGCCTTCCAGGAAACTTCATGGGGGTGAAAAAGGTGGGTTTAGTAGGTTTTATGCCCAGCAGTGAGGTATGTTCCACCTCCCTGGGGGTTTTCTGGGAAGAATGGCTGTTGGAAAAGCCAGGCAGAGGTGTGTAGTTTTTCCTCGAAAATGTTGAGCTCGACTGATCAAACTTCAGCAGAGGAGCTCGAGGAAAAGTTTTGTTCTTCCATATTTATGCTTTAGTGCAAATTCCCTGATTTTGGAGGGGGGGTGGGGGGGAATTAACAGTCTCTGGTATTTTATCCCGTTTGTTTCATTCTTCCTGTCACTTCAGTTTTTGTACGGATTTTGTTTGTTGTTGTTGTTCATTGTTTCAATGACTTTTGTGATAAACTCAGCAGAAGTATTTTTCTGAAATAAATAAATAAAAGGCATAGATTCTTCCAGTGCTGTTTCCACTGATGCTTTATTATTGCTGAGCTGTACATGTGGCATGGACACCATCCACTATCCCAGGTTGCTCCAAGCCCTATCCAGTCTGGCCTTGAAAACTTCCAGGGATTCAGGGGCAACCACAGCTTCTCTGGGCACCCTGTGCCAGAGCCTCACCACCCTCAAAGGGAAGCATTTTTTCCCCAATATCCAATCTAAATCTTTCAGTTTAAAGCCATTCCCCCTTATCCTGTCACCCCAAGCCCTTGCAGCTGGGGTTCATCTTCCCACATTTCCCATGTCCACAGCAAGGGCAGCTGCTCCAGAGTTCATTATTCATGGCTGCTTTCATCAGAGGGAGTGGAGGATAAGGGTATTTGTAGGAGATGATTTATCTGATGTGGTTTAGGCGCATATTTTTGGTGAGCTATATTGTATATTTTGTGCAGCTGGCCCCAGGCACACGACATCACTTGGCTGAGGGTTAGGTTACATTTTCTATGCAGAAAATAGTTTCTGACTTTCTACAGCTCAAGTAATTTCATCTGTAAGATTTTGGTCTCTTGAAATCTGAGGTGTACCAGAGATCCCTGGAATGATCCTTAGTCAGGGTGAGCAGCAGCACACAACAGGCCCAGAAGGGAAGAGCAGTGACCTTTCCAAACAAGGGGAGACAGGAGTGAGCTGTCACATAGAGACTCTCAGCTGTCTGAGGGGAAGTGGGAATCTGTGGCACAAAAGCTGATTTAAAGCAGCATTTAGTTCCAAAGAGCTTTGTTCTCTGTGTGTGTGACAGCTACCTTTTCTGTGTGCTCCATGGCAACACCTGGCAGGTGTCACTTGGGGTGAGAAGGCTCCTGCCACGTTACCTTCACGGGAGATGAGTAATGGAGCACAAGTGTCATAACTCTATTGCCATGCCAACTGCCTGTGTTCCCTTTTCCTTGGAGACCTGTCTGGTGAGATGACAGGTGGATAAGGTGGGTTTAGATGGGATCTCAGTCCTAAAACCATTCTTCCAACCTGTTAAAAAATGCAGAGCTGCTTGTCAGCAGATTTGTGTCCAGACCCCCCTGAGTTTACTTACCTCCAGATAGCTAAACTCACCCCCATCACCCTATTTTGAGTACACCCAGAACACCCAGAAGGAAACCCACAATTTGTGGGTTCCCCCCTCACCCTTACTTTAATCCTTATCTATTCCAGCCATTCTATTTAAAACAGACTTTTTGATACATTTGTAGCAACTGAAGTTTTATTGCAATTTTAATAACAAACTGGCAGTCTTCACTACTTGAAGGTGAAAGGCTCATCCGAGAGAAACCTGGAGTGGTTTTCACTCCAGGCTCCAGAGACCTTTAGCTCTCTAAAGTACTGCACTAAAAGGTTGACAAAACAACAGAAGAACCTGACTTTGGTTCTCAGAATTATGTTTTTTCTCCTCTAAGTTTCATTTCAACATCCAGCAGTTACGAGGTTGAGTTTGGGGGTAGCAAAAGGGCAGGGAGAGGTTAGGAAGGAAAAAACGTTAACATGAGGGTGGAATCAGCTGGGTCTGTAAAAGGGGGAGGGAGAGAGTGGAGCAAGGGGGGAAAACCAGAGCATCCTTTTTGAAGTACAACATATTCAAGTCAGCTGAGAATTCAACTGCTGACACTGTCCTTCAGCTTCTGGGAAGAGATCAGTAGGGAAGGCTCGAAGGAAGTCGCGGTAGTTTACCTTGTCTTCATCACAGGAACAGTAGTCAATCAGCTGGGGACAAAACACACAGCAAACACCACAAAGAGTTTGAAAAAGCTCTTGGAATACTGGGGTTGTTTTTAAGGGAAAGTGCCCAGAGTTCTCCTTGTGGGACAGAGCAGGAGATGTTATTCCCCTGTGTGGATGTCCCCATCCTGGTAGCCCTGAATCCCAGGTAAATTTGGAATCATAGAACCATTAAGGATTTAAAGACCTACCAGATAATTGAGTCCAACCTTAGACCATGAAGTCCAATCATTTAAGGATTGAACTTGATGATCTAAAGGTTCAAGTCCAACCGTGAATGCCTATAGATGACACTATCTATGCAAGGAGAAGAGTTAAAGTGTTTGAGTTTAATCCTGATTTCCTTCTGGGCCTCACCAGTGGGGCAAGAGAGCCACAAAAATACAGAGCATGGCCACAGACTTGAGATGGGCCAGAGGAAATCCTGCACACATCCCTGCCAAAAGTGGAGTGGGGGCAGTGTATGTGAACAGTCACTGTTCCCTGGTGTCACTTTGGTGTGTGTACATGGCATAAAGAGGAGACAGATAATTGACAGCCCCACTAATGAGCCAGTTCTGGTGTCTGTTCCTGACCCTGCATTGTGTTACAGAGCCACAGCCTTTGTGTGCTTCAGGGGAAGAAAGAAGGCTTTTGTTTCTTTAATTGCATAACGAATCTGCTTCTGACACCCAGTGAGATGGAAAAGGTCTAATATCACAATTTCTTGAAAGGATTCTTCTTCCCCTTATCGCCTGGAGACAGATTCTCTGGGGTTTGCTTCTGTGACTGACAGCTGTGCTCCTCTCCAGGCAGTGAACTGTCTGCCATATGTTTAATTTATAGCCCTGCCACACTTCCCAGGGCTCTGGGAACACTGGGATTAAGATTTCAGGGGAGGAGATGGATGTTTTTAGTGCACAGATCCTAGACTGGGGCTCAAATGTGGGAGTTTAGCTTCAATTGTCACAGGTTCTCCACATAATTTTAGGAATGTTACTTCTCTCCCACTCCCAGAGTGGAGCAGGGATTGTTACCACACTGTAAATTCCTCAGGGCAGGGTGAGCTCAGATGAACTCTGGTACAGCAAAGCCCTGGGTGCTTGTTAGGGCCTTAATTCATCCTACATTCAGAGACACAAATCCCCTGCCCATGCACCTTTCTAACCAAGTGATGCTCACAGTTGACTACTTTAGAAAAGTTTTTACTTTAGCAGGGGAAATACCTCCTTCTGGTTTCTAGATTTCGCTAAAGTCTGACCCCCCCTTTATTTGCCACTAATCTACTGCCTATCCCACGATGCTGAGGAAACATCCTTGCCAGTAATATTCTTCCTCCCATCCTCACTGGAGGAAATTTTCCCTCAGTTTCCCTCACATTTTTTTCTTTTCAGACTGTGATCTCCATGTGCTGTTTGCTGCACATAGTGCCTAGCAAGTGTTAGCCAGGGCCTTATATAATAGTAGTAGTAGTAGTAATAACAATAATATTAATAATTATTACTATTACTATTACTATTACTATTACTATTATATATTATTAAATTATTATAATTAAAAACACTTAATTATTCGATCTTCAGTGTAGTTGCTATTGAATCCAGAATGTCTCTAAGCTTTCCTAAGGCACATTCTTTGAACACCTCAGTGTCACCTCTACTTAATCCCAGCTGTGCTTAAGCCATCACAGACACTCCAAGCTCTTCAGGATCTCTGCCATGATTCCTGGTCTCTATCATGATACATGACCTCTTCTACTCATCCAAGACCTGAACCAGCAGGAATTTTCACACATTACAATACAGGCAAATATGGGAGGCAACCTGGATAACATTTTTTCCCTTTTCCTTAGAGGACAGAAATTATTATCTCCTCTAAGACACAGGCTCAGTCCAACAGCCCAGGAGTTTTTCTAAACTGGAACTCTCTTGCCCTCTTCTTGAATTTGTTCCCCTTTGAAGGCTAGAGCAGTTGGTTAGGGTTGGTTTTTAGAAGAGATCTTTTGGAAGAGCCATAGGAGGGGAATTCCACATGCACAGCACCCCTTCCATCTGACCTTTTTAAGAAGAATGGTGCTGGTTGGCACATTGAACCTGTCACAGACAGTCAAAAATCTTGCTTTATCCAGGAATCCAGAGCCCTCCTTGTCAAAATGATGAAATGCCTCATGAAACTCCCTGGTGCTGAAGGGCTCTTGGAGTTTCAGTTCTTTCTGAACCTCCACAATTAAATCATCCAGGTCCTTCTTGGGAAAGCCACTGCAGAAGAAAAAAATAATAGGATTTCATGTAAAAACTCATTTTGGCAGCCTTGCTGTGACACTTCAGTAAAAAAAGAGCACTTCCCTGTGTGCTCCACAGTGTCAGAAGCTGTGGGAAACTTGAGTTCCAGCCAGAGCCATGATATAACTGCCTCCAAACCATGTTCTGAGGTAACAGAGTTGTTACTGGGTCACACAAACTGGGTCCAGACAGCTAAAAGGAGGATGTGGTCTAGGCTCTGATGGGCTGATAAGCAAAAAGGAATAAATGCCCTAAAAAGGACTTCCCCCACTACCTGCTGAGCCTGCAACCATCAAGCAGCTCAAGATGGCAGCATCTCTTACAGTGAAGTGATGCTTTTTTGGGAAAAAGATGTATCCCCCATCTGAAAATTATGTCCCCCCCCAAACTGAAAGTGTTTTAAGTGTTGCTTGGAGCAACCTGGGATATTGGAAGGCATCCCCACCCATGGCAGGGGTTGGACTGAGCTGATCTTTAAGGTTCTTCCAACCCAAGCCATTTTGTGGTTCTGTGATTTTGGCTGGAAGCCCAAACACTTCTTGAACTCAGACTTGGTGCTGTGACCACTTCTCTGTCTCTGCTGCTGAGCCAGAGCTGCCCCAGAAGGTTTTGGGGCTGGCAGCAGCCACAATATTTTACTGTACACACCTCACACCATCTGGCTGTGCCCAAACACAGCCTCTTGGAGCATCAGAACCACCAGCAGAGCAGGAGGCTGCTGAAAATGCCCTTAGCTGTCAACCTTAGTCTTATTTAGCCCCATCACCCCATTATTTGTAGCCTACCTGCTGGCAGTCTCCACTACCACCTTCCGTGGGAGGAAATGATCCCTTATGGATTGCACTGTTGCTGCAGGGAAACTCTCTGCATTTCTCTCCAAGTAATTAAGCACATATTCATCAGCATCAGTGATAATAAACCTGTGGCCAAACACTAGGGAAGAAACATTAAAGAAGTAGTGTTACCTGTGGTTTAGCATGGGTTAAAGTAATTTCATCATCTGGGAGGGAGCAGGATTCCTCTCCTGTGGCTGGGCTCAGCTTTGAGCCATCTCTGCTATTTGTTTCACTTCTTAAAGTAAGAATAATTTCACTGATTAAAATGTTCAAACATTGACAGTAACAAAGTTGTATCAATGTACACCAGCTGCTGATCTGGAAACTCAAATGTGACGAGACCCAGAAGCAGCAGATCTTTCAAGTGAAGGAAGAGATACGCACTGTGCATGCAATAAATGACATATCAGAGCAGAGTATTGTAAATCCAGGCTGGATTTTACCTTCAATTGTAGAACCGATGGTGAAGTCAGAGGGCTCATAGTATATGGGATTCTCTGGAGTAGACCCTGGCTTGGTGACTTTGGTTCTTTTTAAGTATTTGCCTCCAAGGATGCCAGAGTTTCTGACTGGAGGTTCATAGATGCTGATTGTGTCATCGGCGAGGAAATAAGAGAGGATGAAACGACGATTTTTGTCCTCGGGCACTGGTGATTCCTAGAGGAAAGGTAGCAGGTTTGGAGCAGAGCATTTGAACCAGGTTTTCCTTGCCTGGGGTGCTTAGGAGCACCTAGTAACCCACTCATAAGCACCTAGAGCTTTTTTACAGCTGACTAAACAAAGCACTTGATGTGCTGACATAGCATAACAAAGCACTAGACAGCACTTAGGATCTGAATTTCAAAGGTTACTTGCTTTATTTAAGCCACTGAAGCAGAATCTGGGTTGAAGTTACCAAGTATATTCAGTGTTTCCACAGCCTGAGTAATCCAAAAGAAATCCTTTCTCTATCCTATATGGAATGATTCATCCCAGAGAGGCTGTAAAATTCAGTTTTAAATTACATTTTTTCATTATGCTGAGTGCCTGAGAGAGGCTGGTGCTGTTTTAGCCCTTAGTCACAGGAAGTCACTCCCCTGACACACCGGTGGATTTACTTGCTTAGCTTAAAGCTAAGTGGATCTTAACTCCTCAGCTGTGACCTTTAGGGAGCTCCTGCACAACAGGGAGAAGAAACAAACCCGGAGTGTTTGGAGAGGGCAGGCACAAGGCAGCACAGGAAATGCCATCGCTGCTGCTGGATGTGCCAGAGGCTCCTTGCATAAACCAGCTGTAAAGCTGGCACAAAGGCCAGGGCCTGGGTGCTGTTGTGGGTGGAAAACACCATTCTCATGGATTTTCCAGCTTCTACACCAGCATTGGCTGCTCTGCTAGGACAGCTCCTTGCTGGCTGCTGCATCCAGGACTAGCCAGGAGAAGGCCAGGGGCTGGAGCCAGCAGCAGAGACATCAAGCACTGGCTGGTGGCAGTGGTGGCAGGCAGGCAGAGGCACAGTGCCCAGTGCAGGCTGCTTCAGCCAGGGCCATCTGTCATGTAGCAGTGGCAGAGGGAGTTTTCCCATAAATGGCTGTGGGTTTGTAGCAGGTCTGGTTTGTACTTTCTGGCCTAATTATTTTTTTTTCTGGTCTTGTGAGCTGCCAATTGTCACAGCAAGCACACAATAACCCCATGGCATGCCCCAGGGACACTAATTTTGGCTCAGGGAGCTCTCTTTTCCCACTGGCTGCTCCTCCCATCCTCCTGGCACTATTCCACCATGGAAAACACTTACCAGAGCCACCTGGTACCTCAGGACCTTGAGATTGTTCTCCAGCATCTTAATGATATCTTTCCGTGGAGGCTTTGGAAACAGACTAAGGCAGTTCTGGAGAGAGTCTTCAGGGATACCAAAACCATTGTAGGGAGGAATTACCTGCATCCAGAGGAGATATCAACTATAAACAGTTGCAACTAAGAACAAGATAAAGTTTACAAGACTTAGCAAAGCCCATCATATTTGGGAGGAAATATTGTGCCACCAGGTAGCAAGAGCTGTGGCATCCTGCCTAGCAGAGATGGTTGATACCAGCCTGGCCATGTGCTGTATTTAGTGAAAATATAGGAGGATTAAATAAATCTGAAACTCAGAAAGCCATGGAATTTCTCTGATTTAAAAGGTTATAGCTATATTAAAGAATCATAGAATGGTTTGGGTTGAAAAGGATCTTAAAATCATCTAGTTCCAACTAAACCTTCCCATGCACAGGAACTCAGCCATCAAATGGTTACACTGGTAGCCTAATCCACATCATGCCTGTGGTCTAAGCCACAACTCCAAACAACTTCTGGGCTCAGTTTGGGAGGTAACAAGGGCTGTGACCATCCCCAGTAGGCAGTTTGGACTTGGCAACACTGTTTTGAAGAGAGAGGGAGAGTTCAGTAGTATGAGTGCAGCCAGGCTTTCATTTTTATACCGACTATGACCATTCTTGCCTTGTCATTTTCAGGTTACTTGATTTTTTTTTCTTTTAGCTGAACTTGTTTTCTACAGGTTCTTACTCAGCTGAACCTCTGCTATAAGCTTACATCAACTGCTTCCTTTCCTCCCTTCTTTTGAGAAATTGTTTGCAGTACCTGTGGAACTTTTTCAAGTGGTTTCTTATTTACATCCACTGGCTGGAAGTCTGTGATGCCATATTTTTCACGATAGAAGTCCTGGGTGAACTTGTCACAATCATAGATCAAGAAGGTGCGTCCAAGGAGGGTGACAGTTTTGCCAATAGCAAAATCTTTGGGTGAGTACCACTCTTGTACCTCATGGTCAGTGATCTCCAGCACACAGCTTGGGAAGTTCTCTAAGGACAAGGGAGCAGAAGAAAAAACAAATGAATCAGGGAGATTTTAACATTTACTAGTGAAAATGGATATAAAAAGCAAGGCGTGAAAATAACTACAGAGAGATGCTGGCACTGCTGTCTTGCCACTGTTTCCCAAAAGATAAAGAATTTAGTGACCATTTGAAGAACTTTATTTTTTTTACAATGAAATAATGACACTTTAGCACAGATGGATTGGTGAGCCAATCTAAACTTACTGTTCTTGTCCACAAATACTTTGGGCAAGCGCTGGCGCTTCATTAGTACCGGGAATGGGTCTCTCCCATCATTTCTCTTGTGGACTTCCCGAACCTCCACTGTGTCATCTGCCAAGAAGTAATGGATGATGCAGGGATGGTGATCACCAAAGGCACAGTTGGTGTCATCCCATATGGCATAGAAGCGAAGCACCTGGGGTAGATTAAAAAAAAAGCAGACAAACATGGATCAGAATCATCTTTTGGTGCCTCAGAAATCAAACTCATCACTCTGAAATGCTCAAGAGTTCCCCAAGGTTCAGCTCCTGAAGAGAGGAGAGGCACAGGGAGAATTTAGTCAGAACAAGGGGCATGTGTGTTTGTCTGAAATTGTCTGCTCTGGCACCTGGCATCAATATTTTGGGGGAGGAGAGGAGTGGATGCAGCAAGACCATTCCTCATAGAACTGCATCTGGCTGCTAAATTCCAGAAGCAGGTGGCTTATTTCATCCCAACAGAAAGCAAGAGAGTAATGTATGGTATTGAGCACAGGCTCTGCAACCCAAAGAGGAGCTGTTTACAAGGCATAAAGCCCAGAAAAAAGCATAAAAGGTTTTGTTTCTCACTAAAGACAAGAAAGGAGCAAATCTGGAGTCTGTTCAGCAGACTGAGACAATTTAGAATGAGTGAGATTGCACACACTCACAAGACCTGGGTTTCAATAGCACATATTCACTGTAATCACTGAATCTTTCAGGCTGGAAGATCATTGAGCCCAACCTCTGACTGAGCCCCACCCTGTCACCCTGCCCAGAGCACTGAGTGCCATTTCCAGTCGCTTCTTGGACACCTCCAGGAATGGGGTCTCCACCACCTCCCTGGGCACCCTGTTTCAATGTCTAACCACCTCTTCTGAGAAGAAATTTTTCCTAATTCAATCTAAACCTCCCTTTGCACAACTTGAGGCCATCTCCAGTCCTCTCTCTGGGTTCCTGGGAGAAGATACTGATCCCCACCTGGCTGTCTCCTCCTATCAGAAGTTGTGCAGAGCCAGAAGGTCCCCCCTGAACCTCCTTTTCTCCAAACTGAGTTCCTTTCCCAGCTCCCTCAGCCACTCCTGGTGCTCCAGCCCCTCCCCTGCACACACTCCAGACCTTCAACATCTTTCCTAAAGTGAAGGGCCCAGACCAGGACCAGAACTGGAGATGCCTCACCAGTGTGATGTGGCTAATTATACAATAATTGGGGTAATCCCCAGCTCTCTCACCTTTGTGTCATAGGTCAGGAACTGCCTGAAGGGGTCGGGACCTGTGGGCACGATGCGTTTTTGCATCGGCGTCCGACGCTGTTCTGTGTAAGGATCCGAAACCAGCTCCTCTGGGGGGTTCACTACAATTCCTTGGCTCTCCAGGAACACCTAGGAAGGTCATCTGAGGTGTTAGTGCTGCCAGGAGTTCTGAAGGTAAGAGGTGACTGGAGGTTACAGGAGGGCTGGGATGAGTGAGGTCAGAATTCTGCAATTCACAGAGAATTCTACAGCAGCAGCAAAATACAACAGGTGACAAATACATTTGTTTAAGCTGCTTCTTATCTTTGCTTACCCTGTAATTAATCAGAGCAGTTCTGTCCTGAACATCCTAACTCAGATTTCACTTAAGCACAGTTTTCCTTGGCTTTAGGGCTTTAAATGGAAGATAACTGTCAGTTGGTCTCTTTTATGTAAATGGAAAATATTAAATTGCTGTATAAACACAGATGTAGTTAGCCTGAGTTTGCAATAATTTAGAGCTGTGTCAGCTAGTTAGAAGAAGATAGTGTCACCCACACTAAGCACATCATGACCCTTCAGGCACGAGGATATGTGTCACTGGCAGCTTCATTCCATCTTTCAGGAGTACTTTTCCCACAGAAAGAGTGTAATTTGCTTGTTTTTAAAGGAATTTTTTGCTTACCTTGGATCATGAACAAAATCCAAGGTGTTACTTGTGGATTTGGATCAGTCACCCAAAACAATCTCTGAAGTCAAGGGACTTGTTCCCTTTTTGGCTTTGGGAAGTGGTCCATGAAAATACTCAGCCCAGGAAGCACCTATGCCAACATCTCCCACAGGAATATGAGATCCCCCTGGAGACTCACAAGGCAAGTGCACACTTTCAGGCTCACTACTTCCTGGTCTAGAAGATGTCAGTAAATGATAATACACTACTGGCCGTGAGATGTAGACCCACATAGCTCATTCCATGTTTTCCATCAATATTAACATGAGGACCAACTCTTTATTTGATGTGGACTGACTTGAACAGTCACCCAGTTCCAGCAGAGCTGGCCCCACAGCCATATTTATATCAATACATTATACATGCTTGGGAACATTCCTGGGCACTGAGGCCAACTGACAAGGAAAAGCCTGGACCTAAACTCTCCCAGGTAGACTAGCATGTTCACCTATTGGGAATGGCCCCTGGAGCAGTCTAACTTCTGGCCTGGAAGAATAATAGCTGACCAGGGCTGAGATTTTACTGGGGACAAACTGGCAGGATACCAATATACTGGTAATTTTTATTTCTTATTATTGGATCATTATTATCTCATTTACTGGTACAGAAACAGCCAGAAATAGAAAAGCAGGCAATGAGTAAGCTTTCTTAGAAAGGTCAGTTTGTACCATGGATCATGGCTTGGCTGTGGATGTGTGCAGAGTTACTGCTTGTATTCTTTTCAACAGTTCCTAACAGAGGAATATTAAATCAGAAAAGAGTCCGGATCACTAATTTCCCTCTCCTGTATGCACAATGTTTCATCTGCACTCCAAGCAGTAAAACTGCCCAGACAGAAATTTGGAATTTGTATTGTAATGAGAAGTCCTGAGGACAAAGGATGGACTCCCAGCAGTCCAGGGGCTAAAACTCCGAGCACCTTACTTGCCCTCTGCAGATGTCATACCCTGAAGTCCCCTTTGGCCTGAAAAAAGAAATCTACACAAAAAGCACAATGAAAGACTGAGACCACCCATATCACAGAAGCTACAGCTGCAAACTGCTGCACTCTAACAGGTAATTAAACCCTGCAGCTCCCAGGAGTCTCTGCCAGTGCTCTGCTGCCACCCACCTTGGTGAAGGAGTCGCAGTTGACCAGGCGGTAGGTGCGGCCGTATATGGTGAGGTCGATGCCCAGGTTCAGATCCTTCCAGTGGTAATAATCCCCGTGCTCATTCTTGGGCACCCGGTGGCGCCTCATGAGTTTGCCTTGGAGCAGACCCGAGTTCTTCACCTTGGGCTCGATGATGCACATGCTGTCATCTTCCAGGTAGTAATAGAGGCCCACCTGGCGGATCCGGTAATGCTCCTCTGCAGAGATAGCAACTTCCTCCATGAAGTAGGCATCAAACTTCAAAACCTGCCCAAGGCATGATATAGCAAAGGGAGAGAGAAAGAAACAGTTTGAACACTGTGATTAGTCTATCAAGGCCAATAATTTATTTGTAATTTGCTTTAGTGGTGTAAAATTACTGGATTAGATTCTAAAAATCTTCAAAAACAACAGTGGCCTAATCTGTGAGTGACAGTAGAGGCACCAGGAGTGCTTTTATTTTAATTCAGTGTGCCTGAGACAAGTGTAAAAATACAGCCTTTTCCCTGCTTCTTGATCACCTGCTGTTTCACCTACTGCCAGGTGCTTGGCTGCTGACAGTAATCTACACACAGCTCTTTATTTTTCAGCTTTACAGTCCTGATTTAGAGAAGTAATCCACAGATTTAAGGAAAGAGTTCAACCACATCTGAGGATTTTAAAATCGGAAAGGGGTCATAATTTTAAGGCCAGTCTGGAGTGGCTCTGAGCAACCTGGGATAGTGGAGGATATCCCTACCCATGGCAGAGAGGCTGGAACAAGATGATCTTTAAGGTCCCTTTCCTTGATCTGAAGTCTCATCTATTCAGCACTGACAACAAAAACTGATTTGTGCTGGGGAAACAAGGAAATTAATCAGTCAGGCTCTCTGCTTGGCAAAAGTTGGAGGAATATTCCCTCCAAGATCATTCAATGCCCCTAAGATGGTGCAGGTGGCCAATCAGGCCTTACATACCCAGCCTACATCAGCACAGAGTCCTGGATAATTAAGAGATAATAAAGCCAACAAGTTCCTATCAGTCAGCAAAGTGCCCCACAAGGGATTGTGACATCCCCAGCAGCACTGTGGCTCCTGCTGCTCCTGTGGCTTGAAGGAAGGGGCAGAGAAGGATCTGACAGATTAAACAGCAACATTTACATTGCTGTGAAGGAACAGCCTCGGCAATTAACAGGGCACATCTGTTCCCCAGCCTGTGCCACAGCCGGGCTGAGGGCTGGCTGGCTGCAGGCTGCTCTGGCAGGGCTGGCAGCGTCTGGAGCCTGCACGTGTGAGCTCCCGAGCCCTGCGGCTCCCACTGCAGCAGCTGCTCCATCTATGGCCGTGGGTTGCAGCCTGGGCCATTGGCACACTGAAAACCAAGGGTCAGCTCAGGACTGCTCGGAGCAGACACAGAGCCAGCACCCAGTCCGATATGATGACCAAGATGTAACATGGGAAGCACTAATGGAGCAGTTCAGGTTGTGACATGCTGTGGTGACCAACACAAGCAGGAATAGATAGAACACAGTCACACAGGCTACCAGGGTTCCCACTGCAGACTGACTTTTCCAGTTAAAGCTCAGTTACAACCTCAGTATAGTTTTGGAAACACAGAACCCCAGGCTGTGGCTTACAGAGCAATACTTTTAAGCTGGAGCTTTCCAGAGCTAATCAAGCCTCTTTTCCAACATCTGCTGGAAATGCTCAAGTGTAACTTGCAGGGAATGTCTTACATCGTTTACGTTATTATAATCCTCCTCCCAAGCAAAGAACGCCTCTTTCAGTCTGGGATTCAGCTGTCTCTGACTAAGGGCTCTGGCATCTGAAAACTGCTGTATGCAGTCCCGTGAACCCTGGAGCTGACTGTTTATGTCTCCGAATTTGGCCAGTGATATTCCTGGAATCAGCTTCTTTATACCTTTTTGTCATAAGCCACGAATGCTGGAGTGAAGCGGGAAGGTGCAGGCCTCTTGACTTGCCCATAGGTCAGTGTGGCTCCCTTGGTGCATAAATCATCTAATTCATCTTGAGAGAGCTGATTTGCAAAGAGTGTGTCCCCACCAACCCCCTCTCTTGGCAGCCGGAAAAAGGCATATCCATTTTTGAAGTCCAGTGTCTGGCACCGATGAAAAGATGTTTTCTGTTGGAAGGAAATCCAGCTATCAAAATAGTGCATGAATTTAGCAGATATGGCTACTGGAAGCACAAAAAAACCCAGTAAGAGAGTGCAATGTCAAGAATGTCTCACCCCACACACATCCCCCAGTATTTTATTATAAACTACCGCAGCAGTCATTTATAATCAAATTTTGTACTTAGAGGAAAAAAAAAAAAACAGTGGAAAAAACAGTGAGTGGTGGATGTACAAAGCAAGAGAGTTAACTCAGATCCTTGCACTGCCACAGGCTCTGGAAGAACTTAAATCACTGAATTTCCTGACTGCCACCAGAGTTAGTGCCTAGAACAGTGTGTCAGCACTTTATCTGCCCTGGTATTTATCTCACCAGCTCTTTGTTCCCTACCCTATTTGTCAGCAGTACAGAGCACCATGGGACCTCGCTCAGTTACTGCCGTATGGTGTTCCCTTCACTGTTGTGCACCCTCTGTGTATTCCACTGTTATTTATTTTCTTAACCCTCCCCTGGCATGATACAGGATTTTCTTTGCTGGATTAAATCACTGTCATGCTCACAGAACTGCAATTATGAAATGTACAAAAGCACATTAGTTGTTTCATCACCTCTCTACATAGTCATAGACTCATAGAACAGCCTGGGTTGGAAGGGACATAAAAGATTATCCAGTTCCACACTCTGCCATGGGCAGGGACACCTTCCACTATCCCAGGTAGCTCCAAACCCTCTCCAACCTGGCCTTGGACACTGGCAGGGATGAAGCAGCCACCGTTTCTCTGGGCAACCTGTGCCAGGCCTCACCACCCTCTTTGTAAAAAAACTTCTTCCTTGTATCTAATCTCAGTTAAGCCTCTTTGAGTTTAAAACCATCATTCCTTGTCCTACTGCTACAGGCCCTGCTAAAAAGTTTGTCACATCTTTCATGAAGCCCCTTTAGGCACTGGAAGGGGCTCTGAGCTCTCCCTGGATCCGTCTCTTCTCCAGGTGAACACCCCCAGCTCTTCCAGCATGGCTCCAGAGCAGAGGGGCTCCAGCCCTTGGAACATCTCTGTGGCTTCCTCTGGAGTCTCTCCAGCAGCTCCATGTCCTGTTTATGCTGAGGACACCAGATCTGGAGGCAGCTCTGCAAATGGAGAGTCTCACCTGAGTGGGGCAGAGGGGCAGAATCCCCCCCCTCCCCTGCTGCCCACTGGGGGAATCAGCCCAGCACATGGTGGGGGCTTCTGGCTCTCGGCCTCTCATCCATCAGCAGCTCCAAGTCCTTCTCCCAGGGCTGTGCACAGGACCTGATCTGTCAGTCAGTCTTGTTCTTCACCACTGAAGAGCAGGGTCAGACTTGAGTGACACCAAACTGCTCCACTTGCTGCACTCTGGCACACGTGGTACCTCACCTGCACTCCGAGAACCTGCCTGGTCCCACTGGGCTGTCAACATTTAAAGCTCCAGAGAAAGCAGGGGAAATTATGAGTCCCTGATAATAAAACCTCTTGACTTTTGCCAAGTAAAACACAGTTGTAAGCATTTCTAGTGCTGAGAGAACCAGCTCCAGCTCCTTTTCCAGCCCCAGGCTTGCAGTCAGTCCGACCTTAGGCATACAAACTGCTTCTTCTCCACCCCCTTCCTCGCCCCTCATGGTTAAGCCTCTTATTTATACCTTCAGGCCCCACTTGAATTCCACATAATTCCCTGTTTTCTCTTTAAACTGCTACTATAGATCTTGCAAAGGAGAGAGCAGTGAGGAAAACAGGTGAAAACAAGATTTGTCTGAAGACATTTTAGCAGAACATCTTATAAACTGCCACAGAACTGTCACTTCCTTCTGTTAAATAAATACCAAGGGAAAGCTGTGGGGAAAATATTCAAGGAAAACGAGGAAGTTTGTCTTTAATTTGAGCAATTTCAGTGTTTGCTAGAAGAGTACAGGCTTTTAAGAGCCCACATTTGCCTAAAGGAAGCACTTCATTGGTTCATAAGGTTCCTGACTGGATAAGCTCTCCCAAAGTGAGCCTGTATGCCAGACAACATCTTCCAGGATCAGGTGACTAATGAAAGTTTAAAAGGGAAAACCCAGAATGTAAACTCCTAATCTCAGTTGTTGCCAGTGTTTATCTGAAGAAATTCCACTGAATTAAGTCCTTCTTTTTGCCAAGTCTGTAACACTTCACACAAACACCATTCCCTCTCCCAGTGTCTGTTTCCCTGTCCAGTGAGCACTAAGCTGTAACACCACTTTACTTGAACACAGAGGTTTCCTTCAGAACTTCTCATCATTCACTATGAAACCAAGTATTGTGATGCCAGTTTTATGGACTGGAAAACTGCAGATTTCCAAGATGTTATAAATTACTTCAAGGAAATATTAGTATCTGATAATAATTCTAAGGCGACCTTTATTGCTGGATGGTTATTTGTTATGAGTAATTTACTCTATTTACTGTTGGAGGACTCAGTTGTCACTGATTTTAGGCCAAGCTGGATGGGCTTGGAGCAATCTGGTTTGTGGAAGGTGTCCCTGCTCATGGCAGAGGGTTGGAACAAGATGATCTTTAAGGTCCCTTCCAACCCAAACCATTCCATGATTCTGTGACAATGAATTTTCATATACAAAGCTGGATCAGCCAGGAATATTTTCTGTTAAAGATGCTCTCCAGGAAGGCTGTAAATTCCTGGTAAGCCCAAACCAGGCATAAAACAAACCCTTGTTAGTTTTTTGGGGGGATTTTTTTAGCATATCAAAGAAATAAAAGGAAGCATCAGTTCTCTGTGGCACCACTTCCTCAAGAGAACATTGGGAGGATTTGGGTTATCAGGTCCTTAGGGCCTGGACCATTGGATGGGGACAAGGAGAGGTTGCTTCCTCATTTAGTATCAGGTGCAGAGGATGAGGATGAGGATGAGACTGCTTCTTCCAGGGAACCTGGGAACAGCTGAGAGTGTGTAATTTCCTGGGGATGATCCTGGAAGCGGTGATGACACCAGTTCTGTGGTGGGATACCAGTTCTCTCATCAGGTTATCAGGCTCCAGACCTGCACTGCCAAGGATTCAGTTCTCCAGGCAACACCAGGAGAGCAGTTTTGGAAATATCAGAGCTTTGGAGGAAAGGGTATCAGGAAGATGTTCATTGCCAATGAGACTGGTGACTTCAAGGTGTATCTATGTAATAGAAAAATTATGTCCAGGAAATAATTATATTGGGATGATCTGGGGGATTAATTCATGTGGAAGAATGCTCAAGGTTTGATCAATATTGGTTCTCCTGGGTATATCCATCTGAGGAGGCATCATGTGAATTTAAGGAACTTGGTTCAGGACAGTATCAGTAGCAGTTCAGAGAACTTTGGGAAAACTCAGATGGTTCAGAGAAACAGCAGTTTTTCCTAAGGGAATCAGATTTCAAGATTGTAAAGCGAGTTTGGGGATTTCCCCTGGAGTATGTTATGAACTGTGGGGGAATTATTGGATGGATTCAAGGGAATTGGATATCCAAAGGGGTGAGTTTGCAGACAGCAGAATAGGTTTTGGTGCCCAAAGGAACTCCAGGAGAGCTGGAGAGGGACTTTGGACAAGGCCTGGAGGGACAGGACAAGGGGCAATGGCTTCCCACTGCCAACAGGGTAGGGATAGATGGGATATTGGGAAGGAATTGTTCCCTGTGAGGGTGGCAAGTCCCTGGCACAGGGTGCCCAGAGAAGCTGTGGCTGTCCCAGGATCACTGGAAGTGTCCAAGGCCAGGCTGGACAGGGCTTGGAGCAACTTGGGATAGTGGAAGGCATCCCTGCCCATGGCAGGGGGTGGAATGGGATGATCTTTACAGTCTTCTAACCCAAACCATTCTGTGATTCTATGAATATTGTTGAGTTTAGGGGTCCCAAGACTTCTGTGGATTTCGAGCAAAGTCTGAGGGAGTACCAGATTCCCAGAGAGTGTCACCAGGGGATACCAGGTACCACCTGAAGCAGGTGCAGGGAGGTGCAGAAGCCCGTTTCTGAGGTCACCCCTCAGGGGGCACACACAAGGCCAGCCCACCTTGATCCGGGAGGCCTCCCGTGGGAAGCGGGTACAGCGGGGGTACAGTGGGCGGGCGCGCTCACCGTGGGGTCCTTGATGGCGCAGCCGGGGAGGAAGGGCAGCCCCGGCCCGGGCACGATCGGGGGCCCTGTCCCTGTCCCCGGCCGTATCCCCGGCCCCAGCTCCGGCTCCGGCCCCGAGCTCATGGCGGCGGCGGCGCTCCGGGCCCGGCCCGGCCGACGCGTCTCCACGGCAACCCCCAGCGCTCAGTGCGCATGCGCAGCGCCCTTCGCGCCTCCGCGGCTCCCCGCGCCTGCGCAGTGAGTGCCAAGGGCGCGCGGTCGCCGTGGCAACGGGGAGGGCTCTGAGGGGCCGAACCGCCCCCCCCCCCCATCCTGTTTTATTCGGGATTTTTCCCCTCACAGCCCCTCATAGTCCACTCGTATCCCACTCACAGACTTGCATAGCCCCCTCGTGGCCCCTCATAAACCCCTCCCATTAAAACATTTTGCGGGTGGTGGCACCTGGACTGCTTCTTTTTGGGGAGTTTTCCCTGCCCTGTGCAGTGTGCAGGGTAACGATCAGCTCTGAAGGGACAAATCCATACCTGGAGTGATTGAAATATTTTAACAGGAGTGATTGTGCTGGTTTATGATGTATATATACATGTATTAAAATGTATATAGTTGTGAAATAGTGTATTTTTCATATGTAGCACTGATGTAATTCCTCTCTTTCAAATATGATTTTTATCTCCGGAGGAAGGTGCTAAAAGAAGCATCAAGGATACCATAAGGGTGGATGTGCAAAAGTGACTCCCAAATGCAAGAGAGAAAACAGCTAAATCCATCACCATGGAAAACAGAAATTATTTGTCGCATTTAGAAGTTGTGGATTCCCCAAAAGACGTGGATTCCTCACCCCTGGATGCATTCAGGGCCAGGTTGGACAGGATTTGAGAGAAACCTGGTCTAGTGGAAGGTGACCCTGCTCATGGCAAGAGGGTTGGAATGAGATGATCCTGAATGTCCCTTCCAACCCAAACCTTCTAGAATTCCATGAAAAAGAAGGGGTTTGTGCATCTTTGCTTTGTTCTCTTTATCACCACAACACCAGGCAAGCCAGGCTGTGATTCAAGGGCAGGCGGCAGATCCGAGGGTTTTCTAAGCAGAAGTTAAGCGGGGAGAATTGCAGCCAGACTGTCTGCCTAAGCATGGTGTGGGAGAGAGAAAAAAGCCAGGCGTGGGAGATAAACAATGGGGCTGATCAGCTTAGAAAGGAAAATAATGAACTGAAGGCCAAGCAGGGCTTGAAGAGCTGAATCGGGAAGACAGCAAAGCTGTTGGTGTGATGATGGCTGACTTAGACCCAGGAGCAGGACCCTGATCAAGCCCTCACTCTGATTTTTCAAGCTGCAATATCCAGGCAGCATTTAACAGGGAACAGGGCCTGTCTCAGAAAAGGAAATTTGCCTCTGTGTGCCAAGGATCATCCCCAAGGACAATAACTGCAAATTTGTGACAAGGCTGTGTGGCAGAGTGGCTGGTGCACACCCTGTAAAGATGACAGGCTAGGCATGTTCAGCCTGGAGAAAAGAAGGCTCTGGGAAGTTCTTGGGAGTCATTTCCAGTGCCTAAAGGGGCTCTGAGAGAGCCAAAAAGGGATTATTTAAAAGGGTATGCAGTGACAGGACAAGGAGAGGTGTTTTTAAACTGCCAGAGTGCAGGTTTAGATGGGATATTGGGAAGGAATTCATCCCTGTGAGGGTGGAGAGGCCCTGGCCCAGGTTGCCCAGACAAGCTGTGGCTGCACCATCCCTGCAAATGTCCAGGGCCAGGTTGAGCAACCTGGTTTAATGGAAGGTGTCCCAGCTCATGGCAGGAGTTGGGAATGAGATGGTCTTTAATGGCCCTTCCAACCCAAACCATTCTGAGATTCCACAGAAGAAAGCAAAAAAGCCATAGCATAAACCGGTGTTTAGTAATAGTGACTGTAAAGCAGGAGAGAGGAGAAATGAGGAATTAAAGTGAAGATCTAGATTAAGCTTCATCCTTGACAACTTCTGTACAGACAAGTCTGACTTGCCAAGGTTAAGATGAGCCTTTTTAGCTTCCCACATCCCTGCTATCCACTCATGAAAGGCAAAAGGAATTCTTTATCGGGCTCTGCTTTCGTGGCAGTGGAGGACACAGATGGAGACAACTCGCCCTCTGGTGGGTGAAGACATAACCTGCAGAAACCTTGGTCTGCGTGGTACATTAAGAAATAATAATTACTGGGTTATTGGAAGGAAAAATATAAGGCATTCTAGAGGTTTTAAGTTCTGAAATTCAGATAAAATTGATGAATTATGTATGTGATCACACACAACCTTCCCAGATAAGGTTGATGAGTTCAGGATCTGGAGTGATATGACAGAAAGGGATCAGAAAATCAACAAAACACCATGATGGAGAAATCCCTAAAACTGGGATCCCTAAATCTGGGATGTCAGTGTGCTGGGGTGTCTCTCTGGAGTGTGTGTGGAGAACACCAGCAGTGTGAGGACTGGGCATGACGAGGCAAAGATCTGGGTGCAACTGCAGGGCCATGATCTGGTTGGGGTCAGATGGAGGGATACAGACAAGCCAAAAAGGTGAGGAGGAGCTGCCCTTTAGGGAGAGAATAGCTGGAGTGCCTGGAATTCTGTGTGGATGATGAGCCAACGGAGAGCTTATGGGGGAAGGGTTCAAGCAATAACCAGTTTGGGTGAGGTTGTACTGGGCCAGTTGCTTCTTTGCAGGCCCTGCTCCTCTTGGGGGACTTCAGCCACCCTGATACCTGCTGGGAGGACAAGTTAAGAGGATTAAGAGGGATGGAGCATCTCCCCTTAGAGGAAATGCCAAGAGAATTGGGATTGTTCATCCCGGAGAAGAGAAGGCTTTGGGATAACCTAACTGCAGTCTTCCAGTACCTGAAGGAAGCATACAGGAAAGATGGAGAGGGACTATTAACAAAAACATGTAGTGACAGGACAAATGGGAATGGCTTCAAAGTGGAGCCGGAGAGTAGATTTAGATTGGATATTAGGAAGAAATTATTTAGTATGGAGTTGGTGAGGCCCTGGCACTGGTTGTCCAGAGAGGCTGTGGATGCCTTATCCATGGAAACATTCAAGGTCAAGCTGGATGGAGCCCTGAGAAATCTGGTTTAGTGGAAGGTGTCCCTCGCCATGGCAGGGGGTTGGAATGAGTTGATCTTTAAGGTCTCTTCCAACCCAAACCCTTCTATGATTCTGTGATTTGCAGCCCAGGAGGTTTCTAGAATGCAGTGCTGGTAACTCCCTCCTCCAAGTGAGGGAGGAGCCAACAAGGAAAGGTGCTTTGCTGAACATCAGACTCACCAGCCATGGTTTGCTGGAAATGTGGAAGTCAAAAGCAGAGCTGGCTGGTGGAGTTCAGGATCCTGAAGGAAGGGAGGAGGGTAAACATCAAACACTAGACTCCACACTTTGGCCTCTTCAAAGGCCTCTACCTGCTTGGTAGAGTGCCCTGGGATAAGGAGGCCTTGGAGAAGTCATATCCAAGCTCAAGAACAGTCCATTCCAATGAGCAGGAAGCTGGGCAGAAATGCCAGCAGGCCTGCATGGATAAACAGGGAGCTCCTGGAAAAACTCAAAACACAGAAGTAGTAAAGAGAAGGTGAAAGCAAGGACACGGATGGAAAAGAATACAGACATTATCTGAATGTGCAGGGATGAGGAAAGGCAAAGTCCAACTGGAATCTGTTCAGGAATGTCAAAGACAACCAGAAGGGTTTCTATAGGGTGACAAAAGAGAGAGTAGGGCAAATGTTGTGGGCCCATTGCTCAATAAGATAGAGCTGCCTAGAGAGAACATGGAAAAGCCTTCTTCACCTCAGTCTTTACCAGTGAGATCAGCCTTCAGGAATCCCTGGTCCCTGAGAGCAGGGGGAAGGGCTGGAGCAAGGAATCTGTACCTTGATAGAGGAGGATCAGGTCAGGCAATATTTAAAGGATTTTACAGGTGCATCTAAATCCCTGAAGGGAGGGTGCAAAGTGGACAGGGCAAGGCTCTGAGCTGGGTCCCAGGACCAGAGGGCACAGGCACACATTGGAATACGGGAGATTCCTCTGAACATCAGGAAACACATTTTTACTGTGAGGGTGGCTGAACACTGGCACAGGTTGCCCAGAGAAGTGATCACCATCCTTTTGGAGACATTCAGAATTCATCTGGACATGGACCTGGGCAACCAGCTCTGGGTGGCCCTGCTTGAGCTGAGGGTTGGACCAAGTGGCCCCCAGAAATCTTTTCCACACTCAACCCTTCTGTGATTGTGGATGATGAACTAAAATTTCTCTAATCAGTGTCAGGGCAGCTGTTCTGCACTTCCCTTGTGGAAAGGGAATGAAATCCAATAGGTTTTGTGAAACCTTGTGAGTGCTTTGAGATGCACAGATAAAACCACACCTTATTGTTCATTATTGTAATTGTTATCTCTCTGTAATTATCATCCCTATTTTTTTCTAATGACTCATAACCTTCTGTAGTTGTTCTGTTGTGCATTAGGGAATTTCACACCACACCAATTGTTTTGTTTTCATAGATTTTTTTTTTCCACTAAAATTTGTAAATAAAGATCAGTACAGTACAAAGCTTAAAATATTGTCAATGTTTTCAACAATACAAAGTCAGCAGGTGGGAGTTGGGAAGGGGCTGGTTAATAAGGAACACTCATATCCTTCCCTGTTTCCCAAAGGAAAAAAAATACAAACTCTTTTGTACTTCTGTTTAGTAAGAACAGCGCTTAAAAATAATCTTGTCAGTAAAAGATGTAAATTGCAAGGCACATGAGGAACCTGTCCTTGCCTCGTTACACAAATTAGGCATAAATAAGGCACCTGTCTCCATCCTCCCCTCCTGCTCTGTACACTGAGCAAATCCTGTCAGTGGGAATTGGCTGTTAAGAGCAACCATGGACCATGGAGCAGACAGCAAAGAGGCTGCCCTTGATCTTCAGGTTCCTTCAGGATTAATCCTCAAAAGAAACAGCACAAGGCACATTGGGATGAATTCTCAGGAGCTGTCCTGGTTTGTAAGATCTGAAGGAACCCTACCTCAGGACCAGAGATTCCTGAGGGAGAGGACTGTGACCTCAGGGATCCCTGAGGGATCTTAGGTGTGATCAACCTTTGGTGGTCAGCTCTTCACCAAGCCTGGCCACTGACACGTTCTTCCCAGGCATGCCTCCTTAGGAGCACCAGGATGGAGGGGACCTGCTCCAAGCA